ATAGGCCTTAACACAATAATAGTGGGTTACTCCAATACCCCACTCTCACAAATAGATACATCAAGCAGACAAAAATTGAAAAAGAAATAGTGTTGAGAGCCACAGCCAAAGGGGCCCCAGCAAACTTCCAGCTGCCAGCAAACTTCCAGCTGCCGGCTGATGATTGGCTCACAGTGGCCCCAGCAACATCTAGCTGATTGGCTCCTCCACGGAGCTGCTCATTGGGCTGTTTCCCTGCCCTTTCAGACCACGGAGCTGCTCATTGGGGGACTTCTTTGGCTCCACCCACGTGACCCAGCCAATCGGCCTCAAGAACAGGAGGATTGTGGGAGGTAGAGAGGTTGGTGTGGGTGAGAGGCTTGTGGAAGCCGGTGGTGGCAGTTGGGCTCTGAGGGTTTTTTCCTGAGGAGCTGTTTTGYTTGGCGTTTGTAGTTCTAAAAATAAAGTTAGTTTCTTTTGACAAGTGGCTCCTGAATTGTGCCCAGCCAGACTGCGGCAATTCAACATAGAGGAACAGATAGGCCCTAACACAATAATAGTGGGTTACTCCAATACCCCACTCTCACAAATAGATACATCAAGCAGACAAAAATTGAAAAAGCATACCAGATTTAAACTATACTGTAGATCAAACAACTTATCAGACATCTACAGAATATCCCATCCAATAACAGAATACACATTCTTTTCATCAGCTCATGGAACTTTCTCCAAAACAGATTATATCTTAAGTCATAATGCAAGTCTTAACAAATACAAAAATCAAATAATTTCTTGCATCCTATCAGATCAAAATAAAATAAAACTAGAGATTAACAGCAAGAGAAACTATACAAATGCTGGAGATTGAACAATACAATTTTGGGTGATCACTGGATCATAGAAGAAACCAATGGGTAAATTTTTAAATTTCTTTAATCAAATTAAAATGGAAAAACATACCAAAATCTGTGGCATACAGTGAAGGCAGTTCTATGAGGGAAATTTACATCTCTGAGTGCCTTTATTTAAAAAACACTTCAAGACATAGGCACAGGCAATGATTTCCTTAATAGGACTCTAATAGCTCAGGAAATAATAGTGAGAATTAACAAATGAGACTTCATCAAATAGAAAAGCTTTTTCACAGCAAAGGAAACAGTAAATAAAAAGCCCATAAAATGGCAGCTAGCTACTCTTCTGATAGAGCATTAATATTCATATTTTTGAAAACTCAAAAAATTTAACTCCAAAAACAAACTATCCAATCAATTAAGTGAACAAATAAACTGAACAGACCTTTCTCAAAAGAAGTATGAATGGCCAATAATTATGTTTTAAAACATTCAACAACTTTAGACATCAGGGGAATTCAAATCAAAACTACATTGAGATTTCATCTCACCATAGTTAGAGTGGCAATCATCAAGAATATAAAACCACAAATCCTGAAAGGATTTGGGGGGACAGAACCCTTATACATTGTTAGTGGGAATGTAAATTAGTATCATACTATCACAATCGGTATGGAAGTTCTTCAAAATACTGAAAATAGAAGTATCATAAGATCCAGTGGTATCACACCTTAGAATACGCCAGAAGGAAAAAAAAGTCAGCATACTCTATAGATACCTGCATACCCACATTTATTGTAGCAGAATTCATAATATCCAAGTTATAGAATCTGCCTAGGTTCCCATCAATACATGTACCAATACAGAAAATGTGGTATATATACACAATGGAGTTTTATGCAGCCAATAAGAATGAAATAGTATCATTTGCAGGAAAATGGATGGATAGAATATTAAGTGGAATAAACAAGACACAAAAGACTAGCTTTACAAGTTTTCCCTCATGTGGATTCAAGGAGCGGGTGGCAGGACATGAAAGTAGCAGGAAGACTACTAGAGGAAAGGAAAAAGGGGAGTGGGAGGGGAAGATAGAGGAGAGTAGCAGGGCAGGTATGATCAAAGTATGTTATTTGTCTGTATGCCACAATGAAACCCATTATTCTGTATAATTAAAATGCACTAACAAAAATGGAAAAGAGTGGATTGAAGACTTACATGTGAGACCTAAAAATATAAAATTACTAGAAAAAAGCACAGCGAGAAATCTCCATGACCTTGGTCTGGTTTGTAATACTTTGGATATAACAAAAAAAAAAATATGCAACAAAAGCAAAAATAGACAGGCACAGTGGCACACACCTGTAATCCCAGCAGCTTGGGAGGCTGAGACCGGAAGATCAAGAGTTCAAAGCCAGCCTCTGCAATGGCGAGGTGCTAAGCAACTCAGTGAGACCCTGTCTCTAAATAAAATACAAAATAGGTCTTGGGATGTGGCTCAGTGGTTAAATGCCCCTGAGTTGAATCCCCAGTACCGCCCCCCCAAAAAAGCAAAAATTGACAAATATGTTTATATCACTTTTAAATGTTTCTACACAGCCAAGGAAACAACAAAATAAGAAGGCAAAAGACCCAATAGGAGAAAATATTTGCAAAGCAAATATCTGATAATGGATTAATATCCAAAATATGTAAGAATTTCTACAACTTAAAAAAAAATAAAGGCCAAAGGACCTGAAAGACATTTTCAAAAGAAAAGATACAAATAGCCATAGAGTATATGAAAAGGTGCTCAACATCATTAACCACCAGGGAAATGCAAATCAAAACCTCAATGAGATATCTCACCCTAATTAAAACGGCTATTATCAAAAAGACAAAAAAAAATACTGGCAATGATGTAGAGAAAGAGGAATTCTTATACGCTGTTGGTGGTATTTTGAGTTCATACAGCCACCATGGAAAACAACTATCTTTTTTATTATATCCATCCTAACTGGAATGAGATAATATCTCACTATGGCTTTGATTTGCATTTCCCCGATAATTAATGATTTTGAGTGTTTCTTCATATACTTTTATCTATTTACAAATCTTCTTTTGAGAAATATCTACTCAGCTTCTTTGTTTCTTATTTTTGCTGTTGAGGTTTTATTTTCAGTTCCTTATATATTCACAGAAGAAAAATTCCTATTTTCACATTGAATGTTTTAAGTTTATGTCAAATTCTGTCTTATTGCTTTAACTGGAGCTGTGTGTGTGTGTATGTGTGTGTGTGTGTGTGTATGTGTGTGTGTGTGTGTGTGTGTGTGTGTGTGTGTTTCAAGTATTGTATAGTTCACAGCTAGATAGTTCAGGTTTTAAATCAGCCAGATAGAATCTCCTTGAGAAGATCTATCTGCCTGGGGTGTAGATATTAGAGATGGACACACTTGACTAATTAAGCTAATCCTAGAAAATCAATATGATGCCATCTAATTAAATTACAAATCTTACCTTTGGTCGTGCATGTCTGGGCATAAGACCTGACTGAACAAAGAATCCCAAAATAAACCACAAAGCATCAAGGCAAAAAAAACTTCCAATTAACATAGCAGACTATTTAATAAAAAAAATTGTTTAAGACTAGCCCTTGAGATTTGTAAAATCAATACCAAAGTTTCACATTTGACTTCTGTTTTTTTACATCCATAAATAAGAAACTGAAAGAAAATAATTCATGKTTTTTTTTTCCTGTTAAAACCATAATGGCTTTGGAGGGAGCAGAAATGCCAACACTTAGGATGGAATCAACCATGTAAGGAAAGAATCTAGTCCCTTCCCACTCTGGGACAGTATTAAGTTTAATAAATTTCTTTAATTTAAAGAGACCCACAGGTTCAGGACCTGTGACCAAAATAAATTAGGTAACAGGAAATTATAAATTGGAACTTGAAAAGTTAAAATGCAATCTATAAAATGACTTCCATACTTCTTCAAGGTGGTTCTCTTTGACATCAAGTTCACTATACTATTAGTAAGTCCAAGGAAGACTGCTAGGAAAAAAATTACACAGTGGTAATATTTGTATTCTCTTGGCACAGTAGTTTTAAACCCTATCAAAGAGTTAATTATTTTTTCTGTTCCTATAACCATGAGGTTTTAAGAAAAAAAAAGCCCATGTCCTTCAAAAGGTATTGAATTTCAAATAGAAGGATTTCTTTATAAACCTATTTTGATCTGAATATTGACTTCAACATCAGTTTATTTCATTCTTTGTAAACCCAACTTCTTAGTA